CGGGAGCGGGAGGCGCGGCTGGGGCCCCCCTCGGTGCCCCCGCCAGCCCCCGAGGGGGGGGGCTCCTGCCCCGAGCCAGCTTTGGCCTCTGCGGGCCGTTCGTCTTGGTCAGCGTCGGAAGCGCGCTTCGGCGCGGATTTGCCCATATCGTTGGGCGCACGGAGGGAAGCAGAGGTGGGCTCCTGCCCGAGAAGGTCGCGGGACCTGCGCAGAGCTCGCTCTGCGTGATGCCGCTCGAGCTTGGGCGTGCACGCAAGGGCCACGCGCAAGCAAGAGCAAACAACTGGGAAGTTCACAGCTGAGCTTACCCAGAGAACGCCGTTCTCACCCATATTCCTGCCGCTTCGCTTTTGGGGTCGGCTCGCGCTGCGAAAACACAATGTTCCGCGTCCTTGCGCCGCTCCGCCCCTCCTTCTTCGCTCAGAAGCTCGGCGGCGGACGGCCCGGCGAGGTCTCGTTCTGCCCCGCGCTCCTCCACCTCGTCCTCCTCTCTGCTCTCCTCTCAATTCCGACGACGATTGCGTGCGTGGCGAGGCTCCTTCCGGCGCTCGCGTCCTTCTCTGTGGGCGCGGCGCTGCAGCAGGCGGAGGTACTCTTCCCGCGGGGGATAGAGCTCATCTTCAACGGCTCCAGCGCGCAGATCCGGCCAATCGCGCCGGCTGCCGACGGCGCACCCGCGCGCGACGTGGCAGAGGAGGAGGCAGGCGCGGACGACGACGAGTTCGTGTGCTGGGAGACGGACGGCGCGAGCTGGTGCGCCGCGTCCGCAGGCGAGGGTGAGCTCACGCCCATCCTCCTCCGCCTGCCGCCGCTGCTGTACGACCTCTTTTACTCTGACCTCCCGCCGCCGTTTGGCGCTCCGCCGGCGAGGGTGTGCGCGCCGCTGCTCGGCGAGGACGAGGACCGGCTGCTCGACCCGTACCCGTTCGTGAATGAGTTTGCCGCCGGCCAGGAGGCCGAGGCGCGGCGCGGCCTCCGCTCCCTCCTCTGGGGCGCCGGCTGGGAGCGCACCTCTGTCCTCGACGCGAGGCCGCACCAGGACGTGCGCCGATACCTGTACCGCCTCCGCTTCGCGGAGGACGCGCGGCGCGACGCGGAGGGGCGGGGCCGATCGGCGCTCGACGTGCGGCGCACGCCGGCCATTGCGCTCGCCCACAACCAGCGTCCTCGAATCGTCAGGGATGGTCGATTCCGTCCACACGCGCCAACTGCTGGCTACTAGGGGGCTCTACCCTCCCATCTGCTCGC